GCATCTCTGCCGTGACCGCGCTCTCGGAGGCGAGCTGGCCGGCCGTGGAGGTCGAGAGCGCGCGCACTCGCGCTCACACCCCGCCGCGCCCCGCTTCCAGGTGCCAGTCATCAAGCAGGCGGCCACGCTGATGGGCGCGCTGCTCGAGCCGCTGCAGGCGTTTGGGTACGAGCCGGGCAAGAACCTGCGCGCGATGACCTACGACTGGCGGTGCGCCATCTCCAAGCTGGAGGAGCGCGACCAGTACTTTTCGCGCCTCAAGAAGGAGATCGTGGACCCGCGGAGGGGCAGCCGCCGCGCGCACCCTGTCCCCCATCGAGTGCGCCATGAGGACAACCTCGCGGCCGCTGGTCCGGTGCAGGTCCACGATCTCCTTCTTGAGGCGCGAAAAGTACTGGTCGCGCTCCTCCAGCTTGGAGATGGCGCACCGCCAGTCGTAGGTCATCGCGCGCAGGTTCTTGCCCGGCTCGTACCCAAACGCTTGCAGCGGCTCGAGCAGCGCGCCCATCAGCGTGGCCGCCTGCTTGATGACTGGCACCTGGAAGCGGGGCGCGGCGGGGTGTGAGCGCGAGTGCGCGCGCTCTCGACCTCCACGGCCGGCCAGCTCGCCTCCGAGAGCGCGGTCACGGCAGAGATGCCGTACCCCTCCTTGTCGGGCCGCACGCAGATTTCCGCGCCCGGGTCCTTCCAGCCGTCGACGAGGGACATGTGCCGCGCCCAAGCGGACTGCGCCTACAGATGCGTCGCACGCGCCTCAACCGCCGTGCCCCGAAGCCGCCTCGCGGCGCGCCGGCGCGGCGCCATGACGGTGTCGTTCGAGAGGCCATCCTCCTCGTTTGAGCGGTTGCACGCCGCCTTGATCTTCTCCTTGACTGGCGCCATGGCCTTGAGCGCGTCGCCGCCCTCCTTCGCCGCCTTCTTGAGGCACTCGAGCACCTGGGGGGCGCGCGGGGCGCGGGCGCATTGCGGCGGCGGCGGCGACGGCTGGCGACGCCAAAGCGCAAGGGCGGGGGAGGCGGCGTCGAAACGGGCCGCCGCCCGCAAGGGAGGGGACGGCGGCTCGGCACTGCGAGCAGCGAGAAAACGGGGCGTTCCGCTGGCTGGCCACCCAAAGCGCACAACAAACCCTCGGACACCT